GAGGAGGAGGAGGAGGAGGAGGAGGAGGAAGCAGGGGGAGTGGAGGAGGAGGAGGAGGAGGAGGAGGAGGAGGAGGAGGAGGAGGAGGGACGTCCGCCGCAGCCGCTCCCAGCTCACAAGACCTCAGCCCTCGCCCTGGCCGAGCCGCCCGAGGCGTCGCCACAGCAGAGACTCTGGAACCCCTCGGGTCGGACGAGACAGGGGAAAAGGGGCGGCAGAGGGGGGGCGATGAGATTAGGGGGGGAAGGGGGATATCGTGGTGCGGGCCATGATATTTCCCCAGATTTCATGGCGCCTTTTCTTATTTCATTACGTTCCTGGCCCCCCCGCTGGGCCGCGCACGTGCCGCCGGTCATGATTTGCACCCTCCCCTTGGACATCCCCCTCTTGGCCGCTCCCGAGAAAGGGGATGGGGGTGATGCTGTTGGCACGAGGGTCCAGATCTGGGCCTCTTAGAGGGGGTCGGAGCAGACGGGGGTCGGAGGATTGCGCCGCATCGCCGATGCATCGCCGATGCGGCTCGATGCGGAGCCCGATTTTCGCCTCGCCGACGGCACCAATGCATCGCCGACATCGCCGGTGCATCGCCGATGCATCGCCGATATATCGCCGATGCATCGGCGATGCGACGCGATTCTGCGACCCGAACTGCTCGGACCCCATCTAGGAGGCCTCTACAAGAACAACCATCTCTGGAGGGGTACCCCAATGTCTTCCGGTGTCGGACTCCACCCTGGCAGGTTTCTCGTTGTTTCGGGTATCTCCACGCGTGTCTTGTTGGCGTCTGTTCTAGCTTCGGTGAGGGGGCTCGTTTTCTTCATCCGCGTTCTCGAGGCCATGGCTCGACTGTGCGACAAGGGTCACAGGCGGGCCCAGGATGAAGACAGATCGCTCCCAGCGCGTTCGGGGACGCGCTCGGAGCCTTCGGGGGCGCTCTGCCACGGCCGTGGCGCCCGATACCTCCTTCAGACCTCTCAGAGATTCCCGATGTTGTCGTTATCCTTCAGTCGGGCCTGTCCCTCTACAGGACGAATATTCAAACAAAAAAAAAAAAAAAAAATGGGGACGATGTTTTGAGAAGCATGGGGCCTTTCATTGTTCTAATGTTTCGTCCAAAATCCGCCTGTAGGAGGACACGCCCGACCTGACGTTATCCGATGTCGTCCTCATCCTGTTTCGTCTTCAGGGGGCGTGACGAGATCTGCTGCGTGCAGCTGGTTCTCGCTCCCAGCCACCGGGCGCGTTCCTCCAATTGGCGCCTCCAGCGCCAGGAGGCGCCAGGAAATCCGGCAACGCTTACAAGGCATCTTCGGGGGACCTTGTCTGTCCTGTAGGTTGGTGTATTTTCTTGTACCCGACGCGGGTTCGGCGCGGATTCGGCGACGTGAAGTCAACACCGATTCGACGCGGATTCGGCGTGGATTTGACGCGGAGTCGGCAAGTTCGACATGGATTCGACGGGGATTTGACGCGGATAGCGGCGGGATGAGACAGAGAAGGCCTTCCAGAGACGCAGCGTAACAACGTTCGTTGATTTGCCCCCCCCCCCCCTGTTGTCATTCCTCCCGTCTCGTCCGCCCCGAATCCCGCGCCTCCGATGGTGCTCCCCGCCACGAAGTCTGCATCCCAGGCCAAGGCCATCTCGGCTAGACTCGCCCTCGCCCTCGAGGCTTTCTCGGATGTCTTCGCATGTGTTCCTGGAGCCGGTCCAGCCCCGGAATGCTTTCCGGCACCTGCGCCTCGCCGAGGGCGTTCCGGGGATGCCCGAACCGCCTGGGTCGGCCACGGGAGACACGAGCGGTGGCCCAAAAGCCAGACCTCCGCGCGTCGTGGAGACCATTCGGCGCGGCGGGCTCTGCTTCTGGCAGGCAGGCTCTGGCAGGCAGACTCGGTGTCGCCTCGCCTTTTCTGGCAGGCGCTGCTTCGGTGGGCTTCTGAGCACCAGCGGGTCCGAGTGAGTGAGTGAGTGAAAGCGGGCCTGAATGCAAGCGAGCCTGAGCATGAGTGAGTGGCATTGGGAGGCGAGGTTGCCATGCCTGCTGCACCGCGGTTGTTGTACGGCTGTGAACAAACGAGTCTACACCCGCGTTTCGCTTGAGACATCCCCGCGATCTGGGCGCGAACGGGCCCGTTTCTTACCCCCCTGGCGCCCCCGCTTGGGGAGGCTCAGTTGCCATGCCTGCTACATCGCGGTGATCAGGGTGCCCTCAAGAGGACAGGAGTCCGAGCCGCCAGAACGGTTTTTTTTTCGCCTGACACCCCCACAATCTGGGCGCGAACGGTCCCGCGTCGTGCCCCCTGGCGGCTCCCCCGTGGGAGGCTCCAATACCATGCTTGCTACATCGCTGTGGTCGTGGGGCCCTCAAGAGACAGGAGTCCGAGGCGCCAAAGCGTGCGTTTCGCCTGAGACATCCCCGAGACCTTGGCGCAAACGAGCCCGTGTAACACCCCTGGCGGCTCCTTTGGAGGCTCCACGGATGCTACGTCGCGGTGGTCCTGGAGCCCTCCAGGGAGATTAGTCCGAGGCGCCAAGTCCGAGCAATCCGGGCCCGAGCGGGCCTGTGTCCCACCAGCCTGGCGGTGCCTGCTGCATCGCGCTGGTCCTGTGCGGGCAAGCACATCACATGCCGGAGTACCGGGAGGCCCGAGCCCCGGGCCAGAGCACACTCCCGGCGTGTCCCCTCCCCCCCTGTCGCGGCCGCCCGAACCAGCTCTGGGGGGCGCGACCACGCGACAAGAGCCGCGCAAGCAGGCCCAGGGCCGGCTCGGACATCTTCAGGACGGCCCGCGAGCCCCCGAAGACACCCCAAGAAGGCTAAGGCGCCAGGGTGCTCCCCAAGAGGGCCCCAGGCGGCCAAAATCGGCCCATCCCCGAAGGAACATAATTCACGCTTCGCGCATCCCCACCAGCAATGTGGTACCCTTCAGGCTCCATGGATCGGTGCCCTCTGGACTCCCATTGCTGGACGGCTTCCTACCGCGACCTTGGATCAGTGGCTTTGTGGGACTTGCCTGGGTATACACGGTCTCGTTCCGCCTGTGCTCTCCGTCTCTTTGGACAGCACTGTGACACTGTGTTGTGCACACGCCGCGTTTCGACGGGAGCGTGCATCAGGTGCCCTTCCACCCGTTGGGTCTGGGCCGATACGTCTTGGTGTGGTAGTCTTCTCGGATCATGGATACACCTTGATGTCGCTGACGCCGCGGCTCGCTGCCGCCGTCGGGATCCTCGTTGGACTTACCACCCCGACCTCTGTGCTACCCGACAGGCTGGGGCTGGCGTCCTCGGTCGTTCCCTTGTCCGCCTTTGGACGTTGGAACGTTTTCGCGCCATTTTGGCTGCGCTCGGTGGTCTCGGTGCCTACCTCAGGCCTGTTGGACGCACCTGCATGCCCATTCAGGGGCTGTCATGGCACCTGGATTGCATCGTCTCGCCTCCCTGGACGCTGTCGTGAGCCGCCTGATCCGCGGCCCTGCGCGCGTTAGGTAATTTAGTCGCGTCCGCGGCCCGTTCGCGACCTTCCGCCGCTGGCGCTTCCGCCTGCGGCTGTAAAAAAAAATCCCCACCAGCCCTTTCAGAGACCCTGCTCATGAGAGCTGACAGGAAAAGGGACGAAGATGCATATGGCGAGACAAAGCGGGCAACCAGCATGAGAATAGAGATCGCTGGAAGCAAGGGCGCGGCCTTGGAGGGCAGTTTCGGGCCCTCGCTGCCCACGACTGGGGGGCATGCGCGTGGGGCATGGTCGAGTCTTCAGGACTCCTTCCCCGTTTTCTGATAGGGCCGGCCGCACGCGTTGTTACGTTTTTCTGGCTCATTGTCTCCGCCTTGTCGCTGCGCGAGGCCGCGCGATCGCGAAAAGTGTGAAGGTGTGTGCGCGTGCGTGCGGGTGAATGTGTGTGTGTGTGTGTTTGTGAGTGTGTGTCTGTGCTTGTGTGTTTGCGTGTTTGCGTGTATGTGTGTGTGTGTTGTGTGTTGTGTGTGTTGTGCGTGTGTTGTGTACATGTTTGTATGTACGTGTTTGTGTGTGTGTGTGTTGTGTGTATGTGTTTGTGTGTGTGCATGCGTGTGTGTTCCGTAGGCGCCGCCTCGTCGAAGGCCGTGCTGGGACGCCTGGGGAAATTGCCCGACAGAGCCAGACAGACGGAGGAGAACCCCTCACATCCAGTCATCGTGCCAACACGACGGCTCAGGATACAGGAAACCCTGACCGGGCCAACCAGGAGAGGTTTTCCAGGTTCGGTCACAGGCTTTCTCCCTTCGAGAGAAAACTCAAACAAGCCTGGATCGCCCTTTCCTCCAAGGTCTGTTTAAGGTCCCCCTGCTCCTTGACGACTGACTTGCTCGCCCTGTCTGGGGGCCCGGGGCCCTCGCGGCCTCCATCTGGCTGGAGGGATCTTGGACGAAGGATGGTGGCGGGATGCCTGGTCGTTATTCCCCAATCAGTGCTTGCACGGGGTGGGTCCTAGCGGATGTTCCACAATCAGTGCTTGCACTGAAGGGGTCTTCGCGGAAGTTGAAGGATTTGGCGGAAGTTCGCCGCCGATTTTGGTGGCAGGGTGGGTTCCCGGGTTCACAGTTCCCGGGTTCCCGGTTCCGGGTTCTGGGCCGATTTCAGAGGGGTCGATCTTCTTATCGATCGGTCTCACCATCGATCTCATGACCGATTTCTCGATCGATCTCACAATCGATCTCACTATCAATACCACACGCGATCTCACTAGAGATCGCATAAGCGATCTCGCGATCGATCTCACTATCGATCTCATTGAATCGATTTCATTCTCGGTCTCACGATCGACCTTGCAATCGTCCTCACTGTCGATTACACTAATTATCGATCTCATTATCTATCTCACAATCGATCTCAAGATCCATAGTATCAATTTTCAAATCATCCACTGATTGGGGTTTCTCAGGGGTAATATTTGTATTTGTTGAGTCCCACGGCGACGCGAAATTTCACTGGCCTTAACGCCCTGGTGAGGCCAAGCGGGTGATGAAGGCGAAGGGGCTCAGCAAGATCGCGACGGGGCGCCTTGCGAAGGTCATGGTCTTCAAGGGCAGGAAGGAGAAGACGTCGGGCGGAATCAAGGCCGAAGGGCTGATGGTGAACAAGCGCGGCAAGGTCGTCTCCAAGAGGGCCTCGGCGGCGGGAAAGCGGAGGTACAGGAACGTCGAGGGCTGGGTCGAGGCGTTCATGGCGGCACGCGCGGCCCTGCACGTCAGGGGATTCGTGGCGATCAATGGGAAGACGCTCCAGGGCAAGGCCCTGTACGTCAAAGCGAAGACCATCCGCGCCGGCCTCGGGGCCGCCGGCGCCGCCCCTGAGCTCGGCGTGAGCGCGCAGTGACGGGGCTCCATAGGGGGGGAGTCGGAGGGGTGCCGGTCGAGTCGAGACACGGCGGCCCTCCAGGCCGTTGTTCGCCATCTTTGGGGTTCCTGGGCGCTCCTCCTCCTCCTCCTCCTCCTTCTCCTCCTGCTCGTGCTCCTGCTCCTACTGCTCCCACTGCTCCCACTTCTCCTGTTCCTCCTCATCCTCCTGCTCTTCTTCTTACTCGTTTTTCTTATGATTAGCATTGTGATTATTATGATTATTAGTGTTATTATTCTTCTCACGTTTAGCATTCATATGATTATTATTATTATTATCATTGTCAGTATCATTGTTATTATTATTATTCCTCCTTCTCCTCCTCTTCCTCCTCACTCGAATAGGAGAGGCCGCCGCTGTTTGGCCCGAGCGTCGACGCATATCTTCTTGTTGGTACGATGAGTCCACGAGTTGTACATCAGAAGCAACTGAAGGAAAGTGAGAACCTGGAAAGAGAAAAGTGAACACGGGGAGGAGCACGATGACCAACAAGCGTCACAGGAGTGCCAGGGACGAATCGCGCAAAACACTCCGTAGCCGAATTAAGCCATCTTCGATGTCCTCCGCCATCGCTTCAAGATGGAGGTCGAAAACCCCGCGTGAACACACTGTCGAAGAGCACCTCAACGAAGTCGAAGACAATGCGAAAAGCGAAGCACTCCAGCGTGAGGCAGTTGGAGTTAGGACACCTCGCTTGTACAAAAATGTGGGGAGCTCGTCGATGGAGCCGAAGACGCCGCAGACAACGTCAAGACCATCCAGAAGATGTGCGCCGCGCGTGCGCCCTCGTGGGGCACAGAGAAAGGCGGAGGCTCACAGCATGAGGCCCGACCCCATTGATCCTCCGCGGGGTGGGAGGCCAGGCGCCCCGCGTAGACTTCGAAGGCCTTGCCGACCCGATCCTCCATGGCATGGGGAGGCCGCGCGCCGCGCACCCGGGCACGGCGTGCGCTCCAGTGGCGCCTCGGGAGAGAGGGGGCCCTGCCCGACCTCGCCTCCCCCGGCGGGGCCGTCAGGAGGCTCTCATGAGCGTCGCCGGGCCTGCACCGCCCCCGCCGTGCCCGCCGTTGGGCGGCACGCTTCCCTGAACGCTCGCTGCGGCGCGCCTGGCCTGCCGCCGTCGCGGCGGGGAGGTGGCAGTTGGTGGCCACTCTCGCCCAGTCGCGCTCGTGTAGCCGCTCGAAGTCGGTGTGGTAGGCGTCGTCGTCGCTGTCGGAGTCCTCGAGGTTTGCCCACTACACCCTCGAGGGAAGCTGTGCGATGTTCAACTCGTCGTCGGCGTCGAAAGTACTCCCAAGTATCTCCATGGCCTTTGGGTCGAGACACCATGCCATGCTCCCGGGGTTCCTCGTCGTCTCCTTCATCACCGGATTCGTCGTCGTCGACATCAATATCGAGGAGCCCAAATTGCTTCCTGGTCAAATTGCCGGTAGTCTGTACCAAGTCCTCCTGCCTGAGAGTGGTCTCCACCTCCTTAAAAACAGGGAGGCCGCTTCCATGCACAGCGCGATATACATCCTCACCCCGTCTGTGCCCCAGGTTCGGGGGGAGGCCAAGTGAATTGTCGCCCTGGGCGAAGCCGAAGTACTTACCACAGTACACGTTGAACGTGGTGGCCGAGACATCCAGTAAGCACCCGCGACGACGCTCGTTGTGCTCATCCGTCTTGTCAGGCTTGTAAGCGGAACCACTCACGCTTTGCACGGACATCCTGTCGCATACGCAGCAGGCGGTCGGTCCAGCGGATCCATGCCCGCTTCCCTGCCGACACTCTTCGCAGCGACAGCTGACCACAGGCCAGCTGCCGCTCTTGCCATCTCCACGGAGAGGTTGCTGCTCGATGGCCCGCACGGGGAGGTTGCATGACGAGTAAAAGCCCCGCTGTCGACATCTGGTTGCCGCTATCCTTTCTCTCGTGCAGCTTGCAACCCCCGCAAGTCTAGTTGGCAGCGGAGCTGGGAGCGATCCCACTTCGCGGTCCACGGAACGTGCGAAGATCGCGGTGAGGACGCACATTCGCACTGACCTTATCTCCGCATCGGTACCACACTCCGTTCCTTGAGAAGCCTGTGATTGTGGTTCTGCTGCAGGCCAACCCGATATTCGCATCGGACACCCGATCCGACTGCGAGGACAGCAGCAGAAGGCGCAACCGCGATGAGGAGCGAATCGCCGACAGGAGCACCACGACGTTCCCCGTCTCATCACAACTCCACGGGCACTGGCCGTAGCTTCGCGTCGGGCATGACTGCGAGGCCCCCTCCCTGGGCTAGCATCGCGCCTCGGTGCGCGTGCGATAGCGATGGCTGTCCTCGTGGGCACATCGCACCACTCGAATTTCACCGACCTCGGCTTCGACCCAGGTTGACAACGGAATCATCGCGGCTGCCCCGCACTTTGACATGGCGCTCGTCCTCGCGCAGGCCCGAGCCTCAAGGCGCCTACGCAGCCATCATCGCGGTGAGGTCTTATCGATCAGGACTTCCGTCTTGACGCTCTGGGGCGGAATCTTCGCGTTCTTCGTGGCCGTCCTGTTCTGGCCCACGGGCATGGCCCCGCCAAGCCCGGTCTAGTCCAGGCTGATCCCGCTCAGCTCCGCCTCATCCAGTTTGATCCGGTTGAGCCAACCACGCAGCGGACTTTTAATTGATCTTGCGGTCGCGATTGTTTGGATACGGCGTTGCTCCACTGGTTCTGGTCCACGAGGCTTCGGCGCGACACCGGTGCCATCGCGCCCCGCCAGCCGCCCCCATCGCCACCCGAACGCGAGTCCGCGCATCCCTTCCTACTGCGGGGACAGGACTTGCTCGCTTGATGCGCGCCAGCCATCGACGTGGACAACGATCGATCACGGCGGGGCCACTCGCGAATTCACGCGCGCCAACGGAGATGGCGGCGGGATGCGCGGTCGACGGCTACCCAGGAGACGCCGCAACCCACCTCGCCGCGAACCCCGCCACACAGCACGGCCCACTGGGCCAGAAGTCGCGCCTCCAAGCAACCCGTGAACTCTTCGAAGTCTCGAGGTAACGCAACGAAACCACCGACGCGCTGCTCTCGCGGCTCTAGGCGCTGCGACTCCAAGCTGCGCACAGGTGCGGGGCCGCGATGTCGCGGGAAGGTACGGCTGGCTGTTCTAACGAGCGGTCGTTGTCACAGCTAGCAAACTCATGGCGCTGCCCCGGCAACGCGGCAATCGATGCCCAGCCACGGAGACCGAGTTCAGCGGTCTCACGACCACGCTCAGGCGCGCGGTCACATCGCGGAGCACGCACCAAACAACATCGACAGAGCTCTGTGCACGCCGCCATCAGAGGATTCGCGGGCATGACCACTGACGACAGCGACGACGCACGCGACCCCTGACCCCCCAAATGATTCGATCCATGGCCGCCAGCGCCGCCGAGCTTCTTGGGACAGGCGGCGCCCCGACGCACGCCGCCAGTTCGTCGCAGAGCGCCGCGCCGCCGCAGGCGACGAAACCCGCCGCCGCGCGGGCGCCCGCGCGCGGGGCCGACTGCGACAGCGGGGCCTCTTTCTGACACCACCTCGGGCCCGGGCGGAGCAGTCAGCCACCGCGCGCCCGAGCTCCACGGTCTTCGCCTTGCCCAGACACATGCCCAGCAGACTGCTGAACGACGGCGGCGTCGACGCATGCCACGGCCCACCCGCGGGGCGCGCAGATTCATCGAGAAGGCCAACAGCACCTTCTCCAAAAAATGCACAGGCAGAGGCATGAGCACTCAGAAGTACGCATTCCTCACGGAGCTCTCAGACACCCGAGTAGATCAGGCGCGCCCCAGTGGAAGAGGAAGAAAGCAAAGACAAGCGCTCGCCAGGCAGAGGAAAACGTAGACGCCGCAATCCGCCAGGCTATGGCGGGACCGCCATGACGCGCAGCATCTGCGGGAGCGAGTGCCACTTCCGCGCTGAATGCCCGCAAGGCACCGCATCATCGCGACGGGGCAGCGTCAGCGGCGGCCACTTCGGAGGTCGCTCAGACTCCGGGCCCATAGACGGCATCCTGGACCCCGGCCTTCTCGCCAGGATCTCCAGAGCTGCCTTCGCGGCCGATGAGGGCCCATCGCAGCCGCGGCCAAGCCGCGAAGCTACGCCAGCGCAGCCATCCGCCGACGGCCCCTGGCAGATGCCTGGATCAGTCCACGGCTCGCGGTCAGCAGCCTCGCTCACCAGTCCAGGGCCACGCGCGCGCCGACGCGGCAATTGTCTTACCGCCACCGCAGATGTTCAACATAGCAACCAGCATCAGGTCCGCTCCAACTTCCAGCGTTGCCGCCGTTCCCCCGCGCGACCGCCGCCGCCGCTGAGCCGGCGACAGCCGCAAACGGGGCCCGCCCCTCCGACGACGCACCACGGAGGACTGCAGCTTGACAGGGCCCCCGCGAGACGAACCTCATCGACCAATAGCACAGCGCAGGTGCTACCATCCTTCAAACAGCAAACTCGCGGCTCCTGCATCACATCAGCGGTTTCGGTCAACTCTCACGCGCGCGACAGGATCAGCTTGCGCGGGCTGTCCTGCCAGACAGACAACGCCGCGGATATGAGCACCTGGCTGAAGTGCCGCCCGCAGCGATCATGATTAATGTCGCGCACGACATGGCTCCTGAAATCTCCATCCGGCTATCTTCCATGGCCAGGTTGGAGGCCGACCACGACGCTCAGATTGCACAGCGGCGCGTTCACCGCGGAAAGCGGGCCCGACAGATGATCAACATGGCCACGGCTGGGCCCGCCACCGACGCGCCACCGCCACTACCATCGGACCTACGCGCAGAGTCAGAACTCACTGTAGTTGAAGCCGACATGGACAGATGTGCGGTATCTGTTTGGACCTTTATGTCAACTTGGATCTCGCGCTATTCTTCATTCAGCGCGGCCATCGCTCCCATCAGAGCTGCGCCGACGCCCAGGCCGCCACCAGCTACAACAACGCCCCGACGCGAGCAGTAGAAGAAGCACACCGTGGCGAACAGGCCCGAGCACCATTCTCACAATGCCCAAGATGTACGCAACATCTGGTAGCGCGCGAGGTTGCGCACAGCCAGATAGCAGCCGCACCCAACGACGCGCCCGATGAGGATATGCCCTCTGGCGCGAACGGGGCCCTGATCACAGCACGAGACGCACCGATCGGCGAGAGCACCTTCAGCACTCCTGCACCCACCTGGGGACAGCCGTCACCTCAAGGCTCGGCGGTGAGGCCGATGTGCTACCCTTGTGGCCAGCCACTGGCCCAGCAAACGAGCGCGCTAGTTAGGTGTATCATAGTCGCACGCAGGTCCCCTCAGGGGAGCTCCGTGTCATCGTCGACCCAGGTGCATGGACCAATTTCATTTCATGGGTGAGAAGCCTGCGCGCCAACTGCGCCACCGAGCCGTAGAGGCAGGGCACCGGCCGCAGCAGCTCTTCCTGAGCAAGCCTCTGAATACACGCGGCTCAAACGTGCACGCGGAGATCGGATAGCATATGGTACGAGGTAAGAATCTTATTTGCGTTGCCGCCATGCCTACTACCATTGCGAACCCCTCAATTCCAGTTCCCTTTCCTACTCCTCCTCCTCCTGCTACTTCTCCTCCTCCTCCTCCTCCTCCTCCTCCTCCTCCTCCTCCTCCTCCTCTACTACTACTACTACTACTACTACTACTACTACTACTACTACTACTACTACTACTACTACTACTACTACTACTACTACTACTACTACTACTACTACTACTACTACTACTCTACTACTACTACTACTACTACTACTACTACTACTACTACTCCTATTCCTACTCCTACTCCTACTCCTACTCCTACTCCGACTCCTCCTTCTCTTTCTCCCCCTCCTCCTCATCGTCCTCCTCCTCCTCATCCTCCTCTTGTTGCCTCGTTTAACAGGCGACTTGGCTGTGAGCACTTGAGTGTCGACAGTTCCCGCCTGCGCGCCGGACGGCGCATGGTTTCGTGCTGGTGCTGGTGCTCGTGGACGTCACTCGGCGCCGCGGCCGGATCCGCTTCGAAAAGCAGACCAGGATGGACCTGCTGGACCTCCGCAAATACCCCCCGAATAATTCGCGGCCAGAGTTGGAAGCCAACCCCCTTCCATGGGTTGGGGACGTTTCCCCCCAGCCTTCGCAGTGGCAGGTCGAAGTGGCGGTGGGGCGCGGGTCGGCCCGCCCACTCACTGCCGCGCCTCCCCCCCCGCCCCGCGATGGCCCACGTCTTCCGACGTCCCGATGTTTTCCGTTCGCGGCGCGGGGTCCCCCAGATCGGGGCGGGAGGGGGCCAGGAGTGCCCCCTGGCCCAGAGAGTGTTTTCATTTGTCCGTGCCATCCTTGAAGAGCCCCCGAGCGCCCGCTGGGCCTCTTCGGGGGAACCTGCGCAGGCTGGCCTTGGCCTCCGAGGAAGCCCTGCGGACACCGTGGGCCACGGACACCCGTTGTGTCACGACCAACGACGAAACTTACACCTGCGGGTCCGCTCGACGCTGGGGCATCGAACCCTTGGCCAGAACACTCCAGGAGGCAAAGTGTGTGTATGTGTGTATGTGTGAGTGTGTGCGTGTGTGTGTGTGTGTGTGTGTGTTAGATGTTTCTGGCCAAGTGCTTCTGGCCAAAAGTGCCCCCAGAATTTCCAAGGAATCCCCCACTGCCTTTAGAGCAGGCACCGAAGTGGAGCTAAAAGCCGGGCGCACGCTGGTACAGGCACACATCTATCAGCTCCCGATGCTGTTCTCCAAGCGATATCGCGGGCCCGGGGGAAGAGGCCCGTCGAAGAAGAGCAATGTCAGAAGACGACGACGCCGCCGCCGACGACGACGACGACCCAGAGATCCGTCGTGATGACACAACTTTGTGGAGGGTGTTCGCATTTCTCGGCCTCTGGGGCCCTGGCCGAGCCCCAGGACCGTCAAAAAACGACTCGGAGTGAACAGCCAGCCTTGGGGAAAGGGTCGGCACTTCCTGAGACTGCTTTCTGGAAAAACAAAAAAAAAAAAACGGGTGACTGAGGTCGACGTTTTCTATGTTAGTTCATGTCTCTCCATGTTCCTACTTGGTCTCCCGTCATGAGCAGAGTGGCGGGTGGAGCGGCAGTGATTGTGGAGCTTCCGCCCCCCCAAACAAGTTCTGTCGGAGGTCCGTGCAGGTTTCTTTGATCAGCGCTGGATCCGCCAAGCGGCGCCTCCGGCGCCGCCCCTTCCGCGCGCTGGGGGAGGGGGGGCCCAGCGCCGATGCCAAGAAACTTGCGCGGACCTCAGAGGGTCCAGCACGCGCTAACATGCATTGGGGACCCGTGGACCTGGCGCGTGGGCGCCAGGTCCACGCCAGCTCCACGCCTCGGGGCCACGGAGCGCCGATTCTGCACGGAAGCGGGGCCCGTCGTTGATCCACGCGTTGTCGGTCCATCTCTTCTCCTCCTTCTCTTCCTCCTCCTCCTCCTCCTCCTCCTCCTCCTGCTCCTCCTCCTCCTCCTCCTCCTCCTCCTCCTCCTCCTCCCTCTCCCCCTCCTGCTCTCCTCCTCGTCCTCCTCATCATGTCTGCTCTTCTTGGAGCAAGGTTCGGGCTGGTGCGGGTCAAGCTTCTGCGGACGGCGCGGCAGACGCGGCGCAGCGCGTGCAATTCGAATTCGCTCCCCAGACTTCCAAGGGCGCCTCGGGCAGCATCAGGGCGTCTACGCGTTTTTCTCGCCACACTCGCCGTTTGGGACACCCTTTGCCTAGGCCCCTGGGCTCGGGGCGGCCAGAGGGGGGGGTGATGACTGGGCCATGACTGCTTCCCGGATGTCATGGCCCCTCGTCTTGCTTCAGCACACTTGGCCGGTCCTGGGCCGCGCACGTGCTTCGGACCATGATTTGCGACCCCCTCTTGGACGCCCCCGAGGGGCTATCGAAGTGACGAGCCGGGAGGAAAGCTGGTCCTCAAGAAGGGGGCAGGGGTTCCAGGGGCCGCTTGATTACATATTCAAACGCACCACGGCGTCGGATGTCTGGGTCTCGAGCGGCATGCTGTCGGGGCTGCATCGGCGAACAGGCAGCCGCTGTCTTGGGGGGAAGACGACAAAAAGACGTCGCTGAGGGCGTGCACGCGCGTGCGTCTCCCATATGTCCCTCGTTCGCTGGAGGCTGGGCGGCGGCGGCGGCTATGTACTCCGACCTGGTTCTCCTCCGTCAAGGAAGCAAGGGAGACGCGCGGAGGGGAGGTGAAGGGGGGGGGAAAGAGCGGAGGGCACTTGGGAAGAGGGTAAGGGGAGGGGGGAGATGAAAGGGGAGGACTCGGGAGGAGTGAGGACGGGGATGGAAGGTGTGGAAGGGAGGGGAGGGCATCCGTCCCGCATCTTCTCTCCGCTTCCTACCCAGACGCCACCGCGAGCATCGCCGAGCGGCGCCGACTGGTCCATGACGTCGCCGGACGGACCAGAAGCTGTGATAGGGCTCTGGCCTCGCCACCGTCCTGCTGCGGGGGCTTTTCCGGGCCCGCGCGGACGAGGAGGGGTTCCTTCGAAGAGGAGGTGGAGGAGGAGGAGGAGGAGGAGGAGGCTAAGTATAACGCAGCGATCGCCGATCCATGTTTGGGCAACGTCAGAAAAAGAGGCCAAGTAGCTCTCGCACGCCCACCCGAACTCCCAGGCTGCGCCAGGTACAGGCGCCCCAGCGGGCGCGTCCCTACCCCCCCCTGGGGCTGGCGGCCGCCTGCCGCGTGAAACGACCGTCCCTGGAGGGCCAGCGCGGAGCGTTGGTGGAACGCGCTGGCACACCTCTGCAGTGCGCAAGGACTGCGCCCCGCTGCCAGGAGGAGGAGGAGGAGGAGGAGGAGGAGGAGGAGGAGGAAAAAGAGGAGGAGGAGGAGGAGGAGGAGGACCGAAGAGAACGAGGCGGAGGAGGAGGAGGAGGACGGAGGAGAGTGCAGAGTGGAGAGTGGAGGGGGGGCAAGAGGACAGGAGGAGCATGAGACGGAGGAAGAGGAGGGGGAAGGCGGCCGTCCGACCTCCCCCCCCCCCGTCCGGGCATCCACGGCCGCCAGGGTGCCGGGCGCCCCAGCCACGACGCCGCGGGCAAGTAGGCCGGGCAGCGCGGAGGCCCGCCCTCCCCCCTTTGTACCTCGGGCCGAACGAAGGGGGGGGGGCTCTCAGGGTCGCAGCCTTCACATCAAGTCTCACCCGCAAGGAATCCTTGTGATGTGTCTCGGGTGAGGATGTTTCACGGAGGATATACCCGTGGTTCACGTAGTAAGGTTTGCAAGACAATTCTAGACGCTTCGCGTATCCCCACCAGCCTTCGGATCCGCGTTCTGCCTGCGGCTTTACAGTGCCCCGCTGTCCGTCTTGGCCTCGCTTCCGAATGTGATTCGGCTGGAGCTTGGCGCCGCAAGGGCGACTTCTCCCCCCCGTTCCGCTGCCGGTCGCCGCGCCTTTGCTTCCCCACCTGCCGGGATGTCTGGGCCGGTCACCTGCCGACGCTGTCTTGCGTCTCAATGAGGGGCATTTTGTCCTTGGCATGTGCATACGCCACTGCGGCCAATTTACATCGTACCGCGCCCCGGACGTTGTGCCCGCTCCCTGTCCCTCGCCTTGGAGCCGCGAACCAAAAAAAAAATCCCCACCAGCCCATCCAGAAATGATGCCCAGGGGAATTGAAGTGATCAGGGAAGTGAGGGAGCATACAGAGTCTCAAAGGGCTGGGGACCCGTCTTACTCCAAGAGGGGGAGGATGGAGGACGAATCGGAGGAGGATGAGAAGGAGGAGGAAGTGGAGGAGGAGGAGGGGAAGGGGGAGGAGGGAGGAAGGAGAAGAAGGAATAGGCGGATGAGGAGGAGGATGAGGAGAGTGAGAAGGAGGAAGATGAAGGAAAGGGCGAGCAGAATGGCCAGAGGCCTCTTGGATGTCTCTCGGAGTCTCTCTAGATGTCTCTTGGGAGCTTATTGGACGCGTCTTGGGACGTCTTGGGGGCCTCATGGCGGTCTTAGAGGCCTCTCGGAGCGTCTTGGGTGCCTCAGGGACTCCGGAGGGGGTGGGTGGGGTGGTGGAGGGGGGGGATGGGGGGGGGGGGGGGGGAGGGGGGGGAGGGGGGGGGGGGGGGGGGGCGGAGGCGCTCTTGGGAGCCGTGGGGGCCTCTTGGGGCCATCTTGGAGGAGATCGATCAAAGAAAAGGGGAGCTTTAATTAGCACCGCCCCGCGGAAGCTCCAAAAATCGTTTCTTGGACCCCTCTTGGAGCGCTCTTGGGGCGCTCTTGGGCGCTCTTTGGGCCGTCTTGGGGCTCTCTTGGGTTTCTCTTGGGGCTCTCTTGGACCATCTTGGAACCATCTTGGCGCCTCTTGGGGCCTCCTGGGCGCCTCTTGGATCCATCTTTGAGACGATCGATCAAAAAAGGGGAAGGTCGCAATTAGCGTCGCCCCTCGGGAGCCTCAAACATCGCTTCTTGGGCCCATTTTGAGGCGTTCTTGGGGCGCTCTTGGGGCCGTCTTGGGGCCATCTTGGGCCTCTCTTGGGGCCCTCTTGGACCATCTTGGAGCCATCTTGAGGCCTCGAAGGGCCATCGGAAGCGAAAAGGCGAGAAAGCAAAAAACATTGCTTTTCCTTTGTTTGGGAGCCATTTTGGCCTCTTGGGGGGCCTCCTTGGGAGGCTCCAAGGCCACTTGGAGCCGTCTTGGGGCAGTCTTGGGGCCTCCTGGAGCATCTTGGGAGCCATCTTGAGGCATCTTGGGCTATCTTGAGCCATCTTGGAGCTCATCTTGGGCTCTCCGAGGCCCACTTGGAGCCGTCTTGGGCCATCTTGGACGCTCTAACCCCTCGCGGCCCCCCCCGTCCAGGTCCAGGGGAGGGGGTAGGGGGAGGGGTAAACCCTTCCCCGAAGGGGAAGAGGGAAGATGGAAGAGGAAACTCTCTAAACCACCTACGCCCAGAGGGCTGGTGGGATTCCAAGTTTTGCTCACACCTCTTCGAATCGTAATCGGGCGAGGAAGTTGCATCGCCATGCAGCACCCCAACCACAAGAAGCACGGCCCGGGTAAAACCTTGGAGCCTTGTGTGCCTGCGGTTGACCTCTTTTCCCGTGGATATACACCAGAGATCGCTCAAGTCCGGTCTTCCACCAGCTTCCAAACCCTGGATCCCTTCGCCAACGCTTCCTCATCCAATAGGCGCGCGCGCGCTGCCTCTGCTCAGTTACTCCTGCTCCGCCTCTCCCCCTGCCTCCGTCCGCGGCCGCACGCGCAGCGCGGTCGCCGGCGCCGCGGTTCCTGGCCTTCCCCCCCTCCTTTCGGCTTGGCGTCGCTCGGACGCGTGCATTGCTTCCTCGGCGAGGACCATCGAGGAGCATCTCGGTGCATTTTGCGAGAATATACTCGCACGATGCCGAAAGATGCACGGGGAATGGACGTCCGAGCGATGGCGAATTGGCGCACCAGAGGAACGGATGGAGGAGTGGGGGACCGGGTCGTCGGAGCACGTAAGGGTCGGGGGGTGCAGAGGGTGCTTTCGACCCACGGTACTCCCAGCTTGTCGCTCCGTTCTAACCCCGGGGCGCCCTCAGGGCCTCGTGAGGGGTGCTCTGACGGGCGTGGGGGCCTCCTTGGGAATCCTGGGGGTACCTTGGGCCAGGAGCACTGCTAGGAGCACCCGAGAGGGGGAGGGGGCGGCACGGTTGGGGGGGGATCCCGGCCCCGCTGCCTGGCGTCTTCCCAGATGCATTGGCGCCTCCCGTCGGGGCGATCGAAGTGAGCACGGAAGGTGGGCACAAAGACCGACGGCATGTTCCTGTCATTTTGAACAGGGCTCGTTGCTTGCGTCGCCGCGGACGTTGTCCATGTGAGACAGATGTCGAAGAAGAGGAAAGGCCATAAACATAAGCTGTTGGCGCTCCGCGCCGTCTTGGATCTGCGCTGGGGTCCCCTGGTGGCGCCTCTGGCGCCGCACGTGGCGCGGGTTCTAGCCCAGATCCAAGAAATCCGCGCGGACCTCCAAAATTTTATGTTTACGCCGTTCACTCTTCCTCTAAGATGGACGCGTGCACAACAGCGGCCGTTTTGGACGACACGTGTTCTTGGGCATCGTACCCATGTTTTCCGTACCCATTTGAGGCGTGAGAGCCAGTTGTTTGAGCCGATTCGTGAACCCCCTCTCTGCAAGTCCCCCCCGTTCGTCCGACCCGCGAGAGGAGTCGTGACGGACCGCGACCTCCTCCTCCTCCTCCTCCTCCTCCTCCTCCTCCTCCTCCTCCTCCTCCTCCTCCTCCTCCCCGGCTCAGTGGTTGGCGATTTCGGCGACGGATTTGTCGCACCATTCCATGGTCAAGGGGAAGGGTATTTCGGGCGGTCTCAGCTCGGTCCGGGTCCCCAGAGGTCTTCAGGGACCTCCGGGGAGAGATCGCCGCAAACCTTTTTGGGAAGGAGATACACATGATCAGGGTGGAGGCGGACGGGGTAACACACGGAGGAGGGGAAGGGAAGGAGGATATAGAGCCGTTGTTTGAGGGCTCGCTTCAGTTATGATGGCTCACGAAATTGTATATCTCGCGATGTGCTGTCGTATCCACGATCTCGACGCGTTTTTCACGCTGTTTCGCCCGCGACGCCACCCCCGTCCTGGGCCCGACCCATTGGCATTGGGGGCGCCGGGGGGGGGCGGCGGAGGTGGACGCGCGCACCTGGCGCGAGCGGTAAGAACAATCCTGGCCACGGGAGGACGTCGTGTTCTTCGCGTTTGGACCATCCACCCTGGATCACTCGTTTCGGGCCATCCGCCTTGGAGCGGTTCAGGCGAGGGGCTCACGTTCCTGACCCGCGTTGTTGTGGCCACGTTTCGGCTGTATCGAGGCCGGCTCCAGGCGCTCGCCACACGCGCGCACACACGCGCAAACGCTTCATCCTCATCATCATCATCATCCTCATCATCATCATCATCATCATCATCATCATCACCACCACCAGCATCATCATCATCATCATCATCAGCACTGTCATCAGCAGCAGCATCGTCATTGTCATCGTCATCGTCATCGTCATTGTCGTCATCATCACTAGCATCATCATCAGCATCAGCAGCAGCATCATCAGCATCATCTCCATCCCCGTCCTCCTCAATGGTCATGGCTTGGCAGTCTCACCTTCCTCTCTGTTCGATTTTTCTCCAGGCGGGTTGGTTCCAAAAGAATATGCGTCGTCGTCTGATGACGCGCCTCCCCCCATCTCCGCTAACAGATGTCTATTGATGCGTGTCGCCCGATGCCTTCCCGGGGAACATGTCTCTTTTCTGTTAGGGGTCGTTTAGGTGGTCCTTGAGATTGTCAAACATAGCAGCTGTTACCTGGGGCTGGTGCTCCTCCGTGTTCTTGCTCGAGGTGTCTGTGTTAGTGCTCGCTTTCATCGTGGCCCTGTTCGATGCTAGTGGAACTGTGGAGTGGAGGGAGCCATGGACTCTCTGGAAATTATGCGGTATGTCCTCAATGTCGTCGTCTAGGTTTAGCCCTAGCCCCTCTGGTTCCGCTTTTTAGTTGTTGTGTCCCCGCCACCGTATCGTAATCATCGATTGGTTTGTGCAGGCATTCTGGATGCTTTCTTTATGTTGTTCAGGCGAGCTTCTGGGAGGGCCCCATTCTGCCCCGGGATTCGATCGCAGCTTGGGCGTCACCCAGAGGTTCAGGCAGCCTGGTCGGGGAGCCGCGGCCGAGAGGTGGCCGTTGATGCACACCATCTCCGGAGGGTGGTTCGCGTGCCTCGGTAGCGCGGCCGTCGACTGGGCGACCCTGCACGAGATGCCCGCCGATCGGCTTCTGGTGGCAGGGCAGGCGCTCGTAATAAGCTCGCGGGCCCAACGCCGCCGTGACCGCGCGGTGTGCGTTCTTCCTGCGCGCCGCAGGCTCTCGATGAAGTCAGACGGGCTGCTTGCCTCGTTGGGGCTCGAGGGCTTGTCCTCTTCGCTCCGTTTGTGCCCCCGTGGCACCTGCTCCCCTGCTGCCGTCGCTTCTCTCCGCGGCTGCCTGCTGCTGTGCGCCCTCTCCCGCGGGCCCCCTGCTGCTGCTCCGCTGCGGTGGTGCCGGATGCCTGCGCGTTGTGGCGTTTGGTGGGGCCCTTCGCCTGGCTCGGTCCCTGGCAGCCCTTTGCCGTGACGTGGGAGCGGCATGTTCTGTCTTTGATGTCCTGCCTGCCCTCTCTCGCGCTGGGCTCGGAAGGTCTCCAGGACCGCCCCTCGGCACAGCCAACGTGTACGTCCTTCAGCCGTACCCTGGTGTCGCCGCCATGGTGCGTGGCGGGGGCCCATCTGTGCAAACCACCCAGCACCCTCAGCACAATCCTGCACCCGACGGAGGGCTTGCTCATGAGGGTCCTGCGAGCAGGATCCTCCGTCTGGAGTTTCCTCACGACACTGGGATGACACAAGATCTGGCGAACTGCAGGTGGACTGGTTCTGGCCTGCCCTTTCTCTTCTGTGTCTTTGCACCGGCCTGCCCTCCCGCTGTTTCTACACCGCGGCCCCGCGGCGCCGCCACGCGCGCTTCTTCGGGGGGTGCCCCGAAAGCCTCTCTCGCTGCCCATGTCGCTATGTCGGCGTTTGCAAGCAGATGTTCTGCAGTCGCTCTTCTGCCTTGTGGCACCTACGAGTTGCCTGACAGGTGCTGACGACAAGGAATGCGTGGGGTTTTGCCGAGCCACCGTTTGATGTTGTTCTTTTTTGCGCGCCGCAGGTTCTCGATGAAGCATTGGGATTGCCATCCCGCCCCGACCGCTCCTCAGCCATAAGGGGTTGTGAGGGCCTGCTCGGATGTGGTCCCTGGCTAAGTTGCCGATCGTTGTCCTTCTCCCCGCCCATCTTTGCTTAGGCTTTAAATCGCACGGTGGATCTGGATTTTGATGGTGGGTACGGACACGGACCCACGGTTATTAAGTCGCACGCTGGAAGATGGGTCCCTCTTGGCCATCGATGGCTGACCGTCTATTTGCCACCGCTGCGCTGGTGAAGAAGCAGAATCCACTTTTTCCTGCATCCTCCCCAGATTCCTTCTCTTTGTCTCCTTTTCCCCAAATTCCCCTTTTCCCCAAATTTCCTCAAATTCCTCCTCTGTTCCCTAAATTCCTCCTTTTCCCAAATTCTTCCTCTTCGTCTCCTTTTCGTCAAATTCCCCCTTTCCCAAAATTCCTCTTCTTCGTCTCCTCCACGGTTGTCTCCTCGCCCGCGCGGGGCCCCCCGAGGTCCGCGGCACGCGGCCGCGCCGCCCCCGCGCGCCCGAAGGGGGGGGCTGCCGCTGCTCCGCCGGGGAAGGCGGAGCGGGGGCGCTCCGCGGTGGCTGCGCCAGAGGGCCTTCCCCCCCCCGCACACCTTTTTCCCCCAAACCTCGACGCGCTGGGTTCTCTGGGGGGCCACAGGCGAACCCTACCCCTATACCCCCCACGATGTCTGAGGGGGAGGGTGGGGCTCACCTCGTTCGGGAGCTCCCGAGCGACGTGAGCCCCACCCTCCCCCTCAGAAATCGTGGGTGGTAGGGGTAGGGTTCGCACGTGACCCCCTCTTCTCGTCTTGAACAGAGCACTGCGGTCGTGGCTCCTCCCACCTCCACCCCCCCCTTCCCGCCTCCAACCCCCTGCCGTCTGCTTCCTGCTTCCTCCCTCCGGCCTCCGCCCTCCTCCCTCCAGCTTCTTTCGGGGGCCACATGCGAACCCGGCCCCTGCCCCTCAGAACTCGTGGAGGGTAGGGGTAGGGGTAGGCTTCGCGGGTTCCCGGGAGCAACGGCGGAGTAGCGGAGCACGCGCATCCAGACGGGATTTCGCGACTCCTTGGGCCCCCCCTTTTTTGTCTGGCTGCGTTGCGAAGCGTTCGTCGCTTGAAGCGTCACCCCTCCCCCTTTTCTTCCTCCCCCTCGTCCTCCAGACCCTCCCTCCTCATCCTCCCCTTCCTCCTCATCATCCTCAGCATCCTCGCCATTCCTTCCGGTAGCTGGTAGATGGTGGCATTGGATCCGCATTGGAGTTGCTATCCCCCCGCCTCGTGCGGTCGCCCTGGGGAGGGGGTGGTCAGACTAGGTGGTTTCAAAGCCCGCGCGACCGACGGACCCCCCAGGAATGAGGCAATTAGGTCTTCAGCGCCCTGGGGAGCGAGAAAAGAGACACGCACCAGACACTGCGTGCAGAGGGAAGGAGGAAGGAGTTGGGGTGGGCGGGAGGGCTGCGGCGTCGCGGCGCGTGGCGAGCGAAGCGTGACCTCGGCCACGCTCGCCCAGCGGGCGGGAAGGCGTGAGGGCCGTTCCTTCCCGGCCATGAGAGTCCCATGCAGGCGGGGGGCACCCGAGGTGGCACCACCAGGCGCAGAGGGGGCTCTCCGCGCCTTCCTGGCGGTGGCCCAGCGTTTGTTGTTTGTTGTCCTTCCCCTCCTCCTCCCTCCTCCTCCTCCTCCTCCTCCTCCTCCTCCTCCCTCCTCCTCCTCCTCCTCCTCCCCTCCTCCTCCTCCTCCTCCTCCTCCTCCTCCTCCTCCTCCTCCTCCTCCTGCCAAGGTAGCTCACCCCATCTGAACACCCAAACCGTCCCACTCGATCACAGTTGTAAGTGCAAGCGCGGCTCAGGCAATAGGTAACTCTAGGTGAAGAAAATGGAGGCTCGCGAAAGCGACGCAGCTGCGACGAAGTGGGTGGGACACGTGGTGGCTGGGAAGCGGCTGAGTGTCCGCGGTGCCGTGGCCATCGTCATGGCCTCCAGCGGCGGTTACTCTTTCCACCCTCCCCAGTTTACATCCCATCCATCCTCACACTATCACAGGTGAAACTGCAACCGCGGCTGCGGCAGCAGGTGGCTTGTTGGCGAGGGAAGGTAGGGAGTTGACGGAGCATTGGTGAAGCCGTGGAAGCATGTGAGAGCGATGCGGTTGCAATCAGTAGGTGGGATGCGCGCTGGCTGGGAAGCGGCCGAGTGTCTACGGTTGCCGTGGCTAACGCCATGGCCTCCGGCTGCGGTTGCCCCTTCAACCTCCCCCCTCCAAATCCCAAACCGTCCACACGCTAGCTCGATTGAGGTTACAGCGCGGCTGTGGCAACAGGCGGCTTGTTGGAGAAGAAAGGCTGGGAGGTGAAAGCGGGCTGGTGTTGTAAAAGTGAGGCATAGGTGGCAACTGGCTGGAGTTGAGGACTGCGGTGCGTGGAAAGGGGTGGCGCTAGGGCTGCGTGCGACGGCGGGGCCAGAAAGTGGCTCGGAGCGGAGGCAGAGCGCCGCGGCCCCCCCTGGCTCTTGCCAGGGCCGACGGTGAGGTCCCGTGTCGCCCCCCCCCACCGTATCCCATGATCCCCCCCGCCGGTTCCGCCGTTCCGCCTCCACACGAGTGGGTGGGAAGGAGCAGGTTAGGTGGGTGAAAGGTGGGGGGAGCGGGGCATACATATAGGTGGAGGTGGAGCCATGAGAGAATGAAGGTTGGGTGGGGTCTCTCTCAAGACTGGTGGAGAGTTTGCTCTTCGTGCTGTCGCTTCCGAGGTCCCAGCTCGTAGCTGGTGATTAAGGCCACCACCAAAGAGGTGCATGAGAGAGCTCGATTCACCAGTCTGGAAATATGTTGTTCCTCATTGTCCTCTTTCCTCCTCTCGAGGACCAGATAAGCTGCATAAGTTGCCGTCGGTGAATGTCGAACGCTTTTCACTGTCGGCGTCAGTCGGCAGTAGCAGCGCGAATGGAAAAAACAAGACCGCATAAACATCAGTTTGCGAAGCTCCAGGCGGAGTTCTTGGATCGGCGCTGGGCCCCCTTGGCGGCGCTTCAGGCGCCGCCCCTGGCGTGCTCCGCGCGCCAGAGAGGGGGGCCCAGCGCCGATCCAAGAAATCCTTTCGGACGTTGATTTGTATGCCTTTCTTTGTTCCTCTGTCCTCGTCGTCCCCCAGACCCTTCATGCGCTGGCAACCAGCACCCATACTTCTACGATCCCCAGAATTCCCAGGGTGCCCAGGGTACGCTTTTCGCCATGTATTGGATAGTTTGTTCGACTTCCGTGGGGCCCGAAGCGGCCCTCCCAGCGCACAGGACGGACAAGAAGTTGGCCGCCGCGGCCTTGTTCGGGACGTTGGGAGGTTTCGAGCCTCGAGGCATTTCTATCAACGCTCGATCCCCAGACCGAGACCTTGCCGTGTCCTGGAATAGACAGCACTTGTGTTCTGTTCGGTCTCGGGGCCTTTCCATCAATGTTCGATCCTCGGGCCCAGGCCCCTGTCGCGCCCTGAAAAAAGTCAAGGCTTGTTTTTGTTTAGTCATCTTCGGCCCCTCAGGGCCTTCGCTGGGCCCCGGGAGCGTCAACAAGTCATTAAGCTCAGGATGGCAGGCGGCCCTGGGGAACGGGCCGGGACCCCCAGGGACCCGGTGGCAGTTAGTGAGGAATTAAGGCTTGCATCCGATGCCTGGGAAGACCTGTTTTGAGATGTTCTCCGATATCATTCGTAACCAAAACACCGCGATGAAAAGCAAAACCTTGGATGGGGCGTTCCCATGGGGGGGGCAAGGGGGGACGGAAGGTTCGCGTCGAGTCGATCAGCGGCGATCCCGCCGTTGGCGTTTCACGTTGAACCGCCGCGGGCGACCCAGAATCGGTCGATGTTGAGCGATCGGACGTGTCAGAAATGGCCTATCGTTCAAGGCTGCACGCTCCCCGCGGTGTCAGGAACCAAGACGCCGGGGTCGGCACGGCACGAGCTTGCCGTTCTCCCCCTTTCCGTGCGACCCGGCGCAAGGTTGGGAAACGCAAGACTCGAGCGTGCCAGAGTTCGGCACTGCCGCCCTTCTTTGATTTTGCAGGCCTAGAGGTTGACACCAACACCAATATCGGCGTTGTGCCTCCACCGAGGGAAGAAGATCTCGATCTCGGTGATGGTGGTCATATTCTGGCTTCCAAGGTGACCGAAATATTACCTCCAACACGGAAATCTATGATCATCTTCCCCCTGTGGAGGTACCCCCCTGTGTTGGTGTTGGTGCCCATTCCCAGGCCTCCAATGATTGCCCCGGCATGGACTTCGACGGCCCAGTTTTCGTGAGATGCTTGCAGCGGGAGGTCACGTGCAGAGTGAGACTGTGCAGGCCCCCTCGTTCTTCCGACGGCCCCGTCGAGCATATCCGAGCCCCCAAGCTCTGGTCCCCCGTGCCCCACTCGAAGAAAAAACGCCATAAACATAAACGTTTGGCGCTCCACGCGGATTTCTTGGATCCGCGCTGGGCCTCCCTGGCGGCGCCTCCGGCGCCGCCCCTGGCGCGCTCCGCGCGCCAGGGAAGGGGGGTCCAGCGCGGAGCCAAGAAATCCGCGCGGAGCACCAAAAGTTTCTGTGTATGGCATGTTTGTTCTTCTTCTATTGCAACGGGAGGTCGCGTGCAAAGTGAGACTGTGTAGGCCCCGTCGGGTATATCCAAGCCCCTAAGCTTTGGTCTGCCGTGCCCCAAAGCAGTTAAACATCAAACACATGTTTGTGATCGTTTTCTTATTCATTGTTTTGCCGATCGGCGCGTGCCCTCGCACACCCCTCATCCCCCCCCTGGAGTAGATTTAGGTCGAGCATGTCCCCCTAAAGGCGGATCTTCGAGGAAAAAATTAAAGTACCCAGAAGTATGCGAAAAATATGTCAAAAGTGGTAGAAAAGTCGTCCTCATATTATTTTGCTACTATTCGGGGAGATTCCTCCTGCAGAGGGACAGGCCCGACTCCAGAGTAAATCTTGGTTGTTTTTCGGCGCCTGTTTCGAGCGGGTGGAGTCTCCCCCAGAGGCAGCACCTCTGCATACAGCCGCACCAAGCAGAGGCCTGGAGCCAGGCCCCCCCCCTCGTCCCCCTTCCGCCCAATGTCGAAACGCCGGATAGGAAAACGTTCACCTGTAAATCCTCGATGGGAAACGTCCTCGTTGGACGTTTTCCCTTTTCCTCCTCCACGCCCTCCTCCTCGTCCTCCTCCTCCTCCTCCTCCTCCTCCTCCTCCTCCTCCTCCTTCTCCTCCTCATGATTCAATAGCATCCTCCTCCTGGAAAACGTCCTCGTCGATCCCCGATTCTTCCCGTGAATCGCCGGCGGCTGGCTTCCCTGGCGGGCGGCCGCGGGCGCGAGCGCGGCCGAGGGAGATGTGCGGCGGCGCACGCGGAGGGCGTGGCTGACGCCAGGGGGGGGGCCAATTCTCTGAGAGAGGGCACCTCTCCTCCTCATCCTGCTCACTTTCCTCTTCCTCCTCCTTCTCCTCCTCCTCATAATTATTATCATCATCATCATCATGATCATCATCAGCATCATCATCATCATCATCATCATCATCATCATCACCATCACCATCACCATCATCATCACCATCATCGTCATCAGCATATCATCATCATCATCATCATCATCATCATCAGCATC